TGATTTCTGTCAGAGTACAGCGGTCGGCGCGGGCCACAAAATATTGCACTGAGGGCCGCAAATGGCCCGCGGGCCGCGAGTTTGAGACCCCTGCTCTAAATAGACAAATACTGAAAAACAATTTTATTTAAATTTGAAGATGGTAGTTCTTTACAAAACTTTGTTAATAATACATTGCTAAATGGATAAAAAAAATTGTAGAAAATAAATGATTTTGGTGTCATTTATTTTATGTAATTTTCTAGTTGGGAGGTTCTTATTTTATTTATGAATATTTAGTTTAAAAACAAATACATTTTTTAAAAAACATTTTTATGATAAAATTTAAAAAAAATACTTTTTGCTAAGTAATATACAGTTGAAGTCAGAATTATTAGCCTTTGAATTTTTTTTTCTTTTTTAAATATGTACTAAATGATGTTTAACAGGGCAAGAAAATTTTCACAGTATGTCTGATAATATTTTTTCTTCTGGAGAAAGTCTTATTTGTTTTATTTCAGCAAGAATAAAAGTAGTTTTTAATTTTTAATACATAATTTTAAGGTCAATATTATTAGCCCCTTTAAGCTATATTTTTTTCCAATAGTCTACAGAACAAACCATCATTTTACAATAACTTGCCTAGTTACTCTAACCTGCCATGTTAACCTAATTAAATACATAGTTAAGCCTTTAAATATCACTTTAAGCTGTATAGAAGTGTCTTGAAGAATATCTAGTCAAATATTATTTACTGTCATCATGGCAAAGATAAGAAATGAAATATTGAAACTATTATGTTTATAAATGTGCTGAAGAAATCCGCTCTCCTTTAAACAGAAATTGGCGAAAAAATAAACAGGGGGGTAAAATTCAGGGGGGCTAATAATTCTGACTTCAACTGTACATGGGGCTTATAAGATAAAATATGTCACTAGTAGATAATAAATTAAAACACAATAAATACATTGTGATTTGAACGTGCTCATGTTAGTTCTCTATATTATTGGTATTTCTGTATTGATTTGTTGTGTTTAATTGATTCAGTTTGCCGTTCCCTGTGGATGTTGAGGATGAAGCCGGAGGTGGAGGTGATGCAGCAGGACCCTCAGCGCCTCCGTCCCGTCCAGGAAAAGGCTTGAGTCGCCAACAAACACAAGGCCTGGAGATGGTCAAACACATCATGAGCAGCCTGGAGGACGAGGACGTCCTGGAGGAGGTCTACACATTCAGGTTAGGGCTGGGACAAAACTATCATATCACAGTTTTTTCCAGGAAAACCACGATTCTTTCTTATTCAATTATTTTTTTATTTATTTAGCACAGGCGTGTCCAAACTACGGCCCGCGGGCCATCTGCGGGCCGCAATCAGTTTTGTGGCGGCCCGCGAGGCTTTTTATAAACATCAATAGAATCTGGCCCGCTATACAAAAAATTAACGTAATTCAATAAATAACCACCGGGTGTCGCTATTACATGCATTCAATTAAGCAGCAGTTCTTGTTATTATCTATCTATCTGTCTGTCTGTCTGTCTGTCTGTCTGTCTGTCTGTCTCTCTGTCTGTCTATCTATCTACACACAGTTGAAGTCTGAATTATTAGCCCCTCTTTGATTTATTCTTTTTTAAATATTTCCCAAATGATGTTTAACAGAGCAAGGACTTTTTCACAGTATGTCTGATAATATTTTTTCTTCTGGAGAAAGACTTTTGTTTTATTTCGGCTAGAATAAAAAGCGGTTTAAATTTTTTATGAACCATTTTAAGGTCAAAATTATTAGCCCCTTAAGTCTTCAGAACAAACCATTGTTATAAAATAACTTGCCTAATTACCTTAACTTGACTAGTTAACCTAATTAACCTAGTTAAGCCTTTAAATGTCACTTTAAGCTGTATAGAAGTGTCTTAAAAATATCTAGTCAAATATTATTTACTGTCATCATGGCAAAGATAAAATAAATCAGTTATTAGAAATTAGTTACTAAAACTAATATGTTTAGAAATGTGTGGAAAAAAATCTTCTCTCCGTTAAACAGAAATTGGGGAAAAAATAAACGGGGGCTAATAATATATATATATATGCGTGTCTGTGTGATGTATGTAAAATTTGGCCCGCGGCAACGTTTGTTTTTTTGCATCTGGCCCTCGGCCCAAAAAGTTTGGACACCCCTGATTTAGCATATGCTTGTATAACAGTAAGTATGTGACGTGGAATATAATTCATCTTCATTTCTATAGCTCTTTTACAATGTAGATTGTCAAAGCAGCTTTATGTAGATGAAGTTCTAGTACAATAAATTGGTTTCAGTCCATCTTTCACTGTAGAAGTTCAGTTTTGAAGACAGTAAATCAGTGTACATGTGCAGGGAATTTACAGTACTCTGAGATAATAAATTCAGACAAGTTCAGAAACTGGTGTCACTATAGCTGCGTTCACACTGCAAGGCATAGTGCTCAAATCTGATCCGATTTATTTTGCATGGCTGTTCACTTTGTTGTTAGAGATGTAGCCAATATCAGATCTGCAGCATGAACAGATCATGGTCCTAAACTGTCTCGTATGCGCAAAAGAACAATTGCAGACAGCATAAAATGTCTAATTATGCACACAGTGGGTTCTATTTTAACGATTTGGGTGCAAAGTCTGAAGCGCAGGGCGCAAAAGCATTAAAGGCGTGTCCGAATCCTCTTTTGCTATTTTAAGAATGGAAAAATATGCTCTGCACCCCGGTGCATGATCTAACAGGGTTGTGCTTATCTTCTTAATGGGTTCTGGGAGTGTTTTTAACATTACGTGCATTAAACCAATCAGAGTCGCATCTCACATTCCCTTTTAGAGTCAGTTGCGTCACGCCATGGCGCATTTGCTATTTCCTTAGGTGGACTTCACTAGTGAGCAAACAATTAAACAGATCATCTGCAGCACGAGGATAAAGAACGAGCCTACTCAATTCGTCCTCTTTACTTTCACTTTCTCTCTTTCATGGATAAGGAAACGTGTTGTACGCACAGACATCCATTAGCCTACATAATTTATTTTGTTTGTAAGGCGCAAAGATTTGTTTCAAATCTATTTCTAAATTCTAGGGGTGTAACGATTTATCGTTGTACGATTTATTGCGATGCAAAAATGTCACAATATGCATCGTGGCGTTATGACGATTTGATTACGATATGATGTCTGTTTTCTCTTATTAGTTGAGCTGTTTGCACGTGAGCTACATTCCACCTGCTGTCGCACGTGAGTTCAGATTGCAGCAGCAGTATTGTTAGCAGACCAAAATGAGTGGAGTTAAAATAGAGGATGGCTCATCCTCTCAAAATCAGACGTCTGGCAACATTTCGGTTGTACAGTCATTGCTTTAGACTCGTCCGCTTTTTGACACGCATACTGGGTCAAACATCCTAAGTTTTAAAGTCTTCACAGTGATTTACATACTTTGCACAGCGACAGGGATACCTCCTTATGGTGTTGAAAGAGTCACATACTGTATTTATAAGTACAATTCACCCTAAAATATCATTCTGTCTTCATATAATGTTCCCACCGCAAAATCACACATGACGTGAGCTGACCGTGAGCTGTTACTACAGAGGGCGGATTATGATAGACGCGCGTATGGCAAGCCGTTTTAGCATTTAAACCTTTGTTCTGACTAACCATAAATATATTTAGAGATATCTCTAATTATATTTTGACTAGTCATAATTATAATTCGACTAGTCAGCATGACAATTAGAGATATCTGCAATTACAATTGTACTAGTACGAAATCAGATTGGAGATATCTGCAAATATATTATGACTAGTCATATTCCTCCATTGACTTCCATTGAAAAATATTTGCAGATATCTCTAAATGAGTTTTGACTAGTCACAATTGTAATTAGAGATATCTCTAAATGAATTGAATTAAATATGAATTAAATACCTGGAAATGTGGATTTTTTTGCAAACACAAAAAACGCAAGTGACCAAGCAAAGCCTTAAGCTCTTACTGTTAAATTCAATTGAATAGAAAGTTTTTTTTTTTTTTTGCACCTTTACTTAAATTGTTCCTTAATTTTGTCTCTGTCATTTCAATAATATATTTTAAGACGTTTTTAAATTGTTTTATTTTTCAGAGACAGGCCTGTTTAATTTATTTTCTTAAAGAAGGTTCAGTTTAACAAGTTGAAACAAAAGAAATACATAAAAAATAGTTTACTTGGTAAAATTTGCATTTCAGTTTAATTTTCAATTTTTATTCCAAATATCGTGATACATATCGAATCGTGAACATTATATCGTGATACACATCGTATCGTGAGCTGAGTGTATCGTAACGAATAAATGAACAATAATAATGAAGTGTGGTCAAAAAACTGAGTTATATCCTAATACACATGCTGCCCCATATGGTCCAAAATCTGACAGGTGGGCAAATCTAAGCTTGTTTTTAATAAAACAAATATAAATATGCATATAATAAATAATACTGCTAATAATAATAACAATATACAAAAGCAAATTGTCTTGAATAAACTAATAGTTTTTATATTGATGTAGAAAATAACTTTTTTTTAATGTTTTAATCCGTTAATTCTTTTATATTTGTACCCTATATATGTATTAAGCAATGTGTAAGCGAAACACACAACTAACGCGCTCTGCGCTGGACTTTGGACCTGCTTTCAGCTGGTCTATTGAACAGTCTTTTAGTTTCTCAAAATAGCAACAATGCACCTTAACCCGCCTCTTCGTCACCTTGGAATTATAAGGTTCTATTTGCGTTCTAAATAATTTTGAGATACTGAGTTTCAGTAGTTCAATAGTTTCAATAGTTTTTGTATTCCATAGCGAACAGTATGTGTGTGACATTTGATTTTTAAATAAAAGTCTTAAAATAGAAACAACTTATTGAAAAACATCCCATAGTGTAAATAAGTTGTCATTTAATAAGAATTTATCAATAACTAAATTTTGACAAAGATGTCAGATAGAACCTTATAATTCTAAGGTGACGTCTTATTTAGACCGAAACACCCATGAGTCCACAAAGTGGCGCAAATGGATTTGCTATTTAAACAACATGGCAGAAAATGGAAAAATTAAGGTTGCATTGGTCTGAAAATAGCAACACGTCAGTGCAAACATTTCTTTAATTTATCAGGTAACGTGTCACACCGTCACATAGATATATACATTAGATGTCGCCTACCCTGTTGTTGTCTATTGGAAGGAGTGCGTCAATAGAGCCGCCATTTTGAAACAGGATAGCGCTTTTTTTTAAATGAATGCGGGACCAAGGTACAGTGGAGGACTGTGGCCATCCAAAGCCAGAGATATACACATATACACATTTATCTATGATCGGTTTTCCTGGATGTTAGTAGCAATTTTTTTTTAATTACGAAATTATAATTTTACATCACTTTACTACATTGATGGATCAGTGACCGCACGGGCATTCCTGACAAAAAGCTTGTGTTTGAGTGTATGGAAATGTACTATTCACCCTCCCTGTTAAATTTGATCTAATCATGTCCTGAAACACAGCTCCTCTCCTGCTTTCACCTCTCATACTGACGGAGGGAGCGATTCGTTTGTGAATGAATCTTCGTTATGAACGACTCCTTCACTAACGTTAGCCGACATTAATACAAGTTTCTGGCAGCGCAGCATCTCGTTGTCATATTTCTTTTGCATTGTTTGCTGATTTTATTCAACAAAACTAGCATAAGCCGAGTGTTTAGTGCGAGTTGGTGCTACTTTGACTTAAAGTGAATGCAGTAAGTGACTGTTATCATCAATAACGTGACCTGATTAGCACAAAAGTTCAGAACATACAAAAACAGAAAAAAACTTAATATTACCTATGAAATGTTCTGCCTTTGTGCTTTGTTTTTTTTGTTTGCTCACTACTACACCCGTAGACAGCGCTAAAGTCCCGCATCTTAACGTAATAACACTGTCTTGGCTAGTGCGGTTGAATGACATTTGTCCTGGGAGCACTGTACCAATGTGGCGGCGCTATTGACGCATGCTCAGAGTCCCTATGCGATATCTAGTGTATATATCTATGACACCGTCAGTACACTGCTTCAGTCTTTTACTTTCACACTTGTACTGTGTAATTTTAGCGTACACCTCAGATACTGTTGGTTGGTTCCTGCTGGTTCTGCACCTTTTTACCAACCAAGTTTGTCGACCCATTATAACGACACAGATCACTCTGCCTATTCATGCCAGAGTCCTGAGGAAAAAGTGATTGACAGGTGGTCATTTGTGTGTAAATTATCTTCATTTATTTATGATTTGGTTATGGGTAAAACAAAGACCATGCTTGTCAGGTAGTTGAAATGGTAGGCTACAAATAAGTAATTAGTTATGAATTAATTACTCATAAATAATTAATTCACCACCATCGTCCATCGTGATGTTTCACATTAGACATCGTACAATGTCAAATTGGTCGACATCACCCAACCCTAGTGCACGCATAGCACTCACCTCCTTCTCAGTTGTTGCAGATGTGTGATTGTGGTGTTGTTTTCTGCAGTGACGCTCTGGAGAAACTCTCCATCTTCAAGCGTATTGAAAGGAGGCCGATGGCATGGCCGTGTCAGCTCACCATCGGCAGCTCTCTGTCTATTCGCATTGTTGGATATAAAGCTGTGAGTTTGTGTTGATCAGTCAAATGCATGATATGTTTGTTTTTATAAGTGACCCTAGACCTGAATTTTTAGCCGCCCTGTGAATTTTTCCCCAATTTCTGTTAAAGAAGAGCAGATTTTTCTTAACACATTTCTCACTCATTATAGTTTATTAACTCATCTCTAATAACGGATTTATTTTATCTTTGTCATGATGACAGTAAATAATATTTGACTAGATATCTTTCAAGACACTTCTATACAGCTTAAAGTGACATTTAAAGGCTTAACTACCCTTCATGGAAATTATTAAACCTTAATGTAATAAAATTAAGGAAAGTCTTTCCTCCCCCAAATTACTGACAGACATTTGATTTTGATGTTTCTTTTATTTTATAAAAAAGTTTCTATTTAGTCATTTTAAACTCAGCTTTATTAAAATTTCTAGACCAGTTTTTGTGAATTAGCAGACTTTCTTTCCCCAAAATATCGACACAACTTTCATTTTAAATTACATTTTGTTTTGCAGATTAGTAAAAATGACACTTTTTCTTAACTTTGTTTGACATTTGAATTTAAAAAAAAAAAGTTTCTATTAATATTTTTGCCCTTTAATTCATTAAAATTGCTAGACCTCGTTTTATAAATTAGCAGACTTTTAAAAAATATTTTTAATTTAAATATAATATTCATTCAATTATTGTTTTTCTCTTTGGCTTAGTCCCTTTATTAATTTGGGGTGGCCACAGCGGAATAAACTGCCAACTCCAGCACATGTTTTATGCAGCGGATGCCCTTCCAGCCGCAACCCATCTCTAGGAAACATCCATGCACACTCATACACACTCATACCCAATTCACCTGTACCGCATGTCTTTGGACTGTGGGGGAAACCAGAGCACCCGGAGGAAATCCACACGAACGCAGGGAGACTATGCAAACTCCACACAGAAACGCCAAATGAGCCAAGGCTCAAACCAACGACCTTCTTGCTGTGAGGATACAGCACTACCTACTGCGTCGCCTTAAATATAATATTTATAAGAATAAAAATTGTATTGATTAAAGTGTTTTTAGATCTAGATATATGAAACATTTTTAAATACTTTTGGAATAGCAAATTAACACAACACACTATTTAAATACATGTTTGTTAGTTAGTTTGTTTGTTTGTTTTTTCACAGTTTCCCATTCATTTTCTAACAATCCCCAACACAGTTTCATGGTGAAATTAAAAAATTTTCTTTCTTTGCATGACAATATAATAGGTGTGACTTTTTTATCCTCATGTTTGGCATCTCTGCTTTGTTAGCATTTCTGTCCTGAACTAATGTTGTTTTTGATGTTCGTAAGGTGACAGAGGAAAAGGTGAAGAAGTCCTGGACAATTGTGGACGCTCAGAGTCACCAGAGAGATGACGTGAAGAGAGAGACAGTTTACTGTCTGAACGATGATGATGAAACTGAGGTGCAGAAAGACGACACAATACAAGGTGCATTACAAAAACTTCAAATATTATATCCACTCTTATTGTTGCAGCTCTCATTCATCATAATATCAGCTCATGTTAGTTGTTTTATATTTGTTTTATAATGAAACTATCACTGTCTCTCCACTGCACCAATAGCTAGTGTGTGGTGAGCGCACTGGCACCATTGTCCTGTGGCAGCCGTCGCATCATTTAAGTGGATGCTGCACACTGGTGGTGGTGTGGAGAGTCAAATTCTCCTCATGAAGTGTTTTGGGTGTATGGTCATACATGATAAATGTGCTAAATAATTACACATTACATTACAGTGTTATTTTATTTGCTTTTTAAATTCTTTTTTCAAATTATACAGAATTTAACATAATTTTGCGTATATTAGAATTTTTTTCAATTTTAATTTCAGTTAATGTAGATCAACTACATTGTTGTTTTAGTATTGTTTTATTTTGAATCATACTTTCTTAATTTTAAAATAAGTCATATTATTATTTAATATTAATTTAAAATATATACACAACTGGTCAAATGTTTGAGGTCAGTAGGATTTTTAAATAGGTTAAAATAAGCTTCTCCTGCTCACCAAGGCTGCATTTATTTAATCAAAAATACTGCACACATTGTAAAGTTGTGAAATGTAATTGTACTATAAAAAACTGTTCAAAAGTAGTTTATAATTTAATTTAATAATTTATTCCAGTGATTGTAAAGATGCATTTTTCACCTTTATTTATCCAGGCTTTAGAATCATAAATCACTCTAATATTTATTATTATTATTATTATTATTATTATTACTATTATTTGTACTAGTAATAAAAGCAATAATGACTGGAGTAATAGTTTTATTTAAAACTACATAAAATAAGAGAGCAGTTATTTAAAATTGTAATAAATATTAAACAATCTAACATTTTTTTTTTACATTTAACAAATGCCGCCTTGAACTGAATAATTTTCTTAAAAAAACTGACCTCAAACATGTTGTTTATTGTATATTTGGTGTTGTAGTGTATATAAAAAATATATTAGAAAAAAAGTAAATTAATTATTTTTATTTTGAGTCATTTTAATTTGTCAACTGCAACTCTTTTAGAATTGTTTTATTAAGTGTCTTACATCCTCACACATTTTTTTATTTTATTTTAAATTGTATTCTGTTCAATTATATTAATATTATTTTTTAAAATATATTTTTAAAATATATTAGGAGCTAATAATTTAAAATAATTTTATTTTAGTTTTAAATAATTGCATTTTAGTTCTAAAAAATAAATAAGCTTTCTATGAATGTTTGGTTTGTTTTGGACAATATATGGCCGAGATACAGCTATTACAAAATTCATTCATTCATTCAACTTCGGCTTAGTCTCCTATTTATCTGGGGTCGCCACAGCAGAATGAACTATGCTAGCATACGTTTTACGCAGCTGATGCCCTTCCATACACTCTCGCATTTACACACAAACACTCATACACTATGGCCAATTTAGTTCTTCCAATTCCCCATGTGTTTGGACTGTGGGGGAAACCGGAGCACCCAGAGGAAACCCACAGCAACACGGGGAGAACATACAAACTTCACCCAATGCCAACTGACCCAGCTGAGACTTGAACCAGCTACCTTCTTCCTTTGAGGCGACAGTGCTAGCCTCTGAGCCACCGTAATTACAAAATAGTAATTATTAAATAATTTTGACTGATGCAATGTATTGTTGGCTATTCTTACAAAATACTCATGCAACACAAGACAACATTTAACAGTTGTTTTCAATGTATTCATTGTTGTAAAGCTGATCTGATCATCTGTACTGTATAGAAATCATTATGGCTTTTTAATGCCTTGTGTTGTTTTTACAGGTTACCGTTATGGAAGTGACATTGTGCCGTTTTCAAAGGTAGACGAGGAGCAGATGAAATATAAGCATGATGGGAAGTGTTTCTCTGTGCTTGGCTTCACTAAACAGGAGCTGGTAAGATATCGTTCAGCAGATGGTGCTATTTTCACATCCACGTTCAGGACAAATTCTTCAGTGTCAGCGATTTTTACAAATTCTGCTCTGTAGGTTTTATTAAATGGGTCTTCATTATGGTGCTTTTCTGAATCTCTGACTTGAAATTGTGTGATCATAATGATAGGATATAGTATTACATCCCCCATAAATAAAAATAGTTACCTCTATTAATATGTACAGATGAAGGCCGAATTATTGTGTGTGTATTTTCCTGTGTATTTTAAAGTGACATTTAAAGGTTTAACTAGGTTAATTAGGTTCATTAGGCAGGTTAGGGTAATTAGGCAAGTCATTGTATAACAGTGGTTTGTTCTGTAGACATTCGAAAACAAATATTGCTTAAGGAGGCTAATAATATTGACCTTAAATGAGGCAGACTGGAATTATGTTTGCTTAAAAGCTCAAACACAAACAATAAATACCAGGTTTAAACTACTTCAATATAAATGGTTAATGAGAATGTATATAACCCCTGTGAAACTTCATCATATGTCTGCTAATATTCCAGATGTGTGCTCTAAATGTTTAGATGATAAAAGAACACTATATCACTGCCTCTGGCAATGTCCTAAAATACAAAAGTTTTGGAAAGATATAACTGAATGTATGTCAGACACGTTTAATATTAAAATTCCTTTAAATGCCAAGCTCTGTATTCTTGGGTTGTATCCTAAGGAACTTACAATTGGAAATACAAGAATTTTGGATTTTGGTTTCCTTCAAGCTAGAAGGGCTATAGCATTATACTGGAAACACATGGATGCTCCATCCATAGAAATGTGGAAAAAAGAAATATTGAACTGTATTGGTCTGGAGAGACTTAACTTATATCATCTAAGGCAAGCAGAAGGACTTTGACTATCTTTGGGAACCATATATGAATATTATGTAAATTGTGTGTT